GAGAGAGAGAGAGAGAGGGGGGGAGGGAAGAGAGACAGGGGGAGAGATATGGATAGAAAAGAGAAAGAGAGGGGGGAGAGATATAGAAAGAAGAGAGACGCAGAGGGGGGAGAAAAAATAGAAAAGGGGTGAGAGAAATAGATTGGAGAGCAATGGAGAAAGGGTATGAGAAAAATGAAAATGTAAAGAACTTGAGAGGTGTGGGAAGAATTGAAAGCGTTGAATTCTACAGAAGAAGAGGCTTCAGTAAGACTTTAGCTAGTTCTGAATTGGAAGTTTCTAAAACAGATGAGCATTGCTAAAAACCACATTAATCAATGAGATTTTTTCATCTGCCAGCCTTGTGGGTTGGAGTGCCAGCTTTAATGCTTTAACGAATGAGTTCAGAGAATACAGTTGGAAGGAAAGGCATTTTGATTTTTCAAATTAAAAAATACACATTTGAAAAGCTGTGTGAAAGCTTGTGAATTAATCCAACAAATGAATGTATATGAAGAGGCTGTAAATATTGGATTTTAAAGAGACTGAAATTACTTTCATCGTGCTTTTAATTGAACTATACTAGTCTACTCTAGAAAACTACATTTTAATCACAGAATTGTGAATATAAATAACATTTCTATTGCGCCTTTCTTGCACAATGCACTTGCAATACACAATTATCATGCAAATATTCTCCAGTTGGTAGAATGATATAGGTAATAAAACAAGCATAAGTTAGACAACAAATGTGAAATACATGTGAATCATTTCTCTGTGTTAATCACCGACCATGGCTTCCAATTTCGTTTGGCATTAAAAAAGAAAATGCTGCACAGACTTTTCTTTGGTACTTTATTAATGCAATATCCACCAATCCATTTCAAAGCACAACTGAATCTGCTGCTTCTAGCATTCAAAATAATGTTCTCTCATAACTTCAAATTTATGTATGAGCAGTGGCATAGTGAAATGAGAAAAAAAGGAGAGGCTACCTGCCAAATACAGTAAAATGCTGATATCTACAGTATCTATTGTATATTGTGACACAAGATATTATTCTCTTTCAATTCTTATTCATTTCCTAACTGGAATTCAAGGGCATGGCAGGCAAATCCAAACTTGTCTTCCCCAGACTTTATTTTTAAAGATACAATAGAACCCCATATTTAAGGTCACCTCAGGGGAGCCTAAAATTCTTACACTAAATGGGGTTCACCCTAAATATATGTACTGGTATTCTTTGAAGCAACAAGGTAAAATTAAGCAGGAATTATTTTAAGAAAATTCTTGATTATAATCATACATAATTTAATCACAATACTATTATTATACAAGTTCTGTCTGAGAGTGTGAAATTTATACGGATGAGGGATACTCATGCTGCCTCACAACCTGATTTGGAGCAGAAAACAATACGCCACCACCCTAACACAGAAGTCATTGTGTCAGTTAATAGTTTTTGTGAACTAAAATTGGCTGCACTGCATGACAGATGCGACGGATTACGTATTTGGCATCTGTGCCCGATTTGTGGAGGAGAGGGAAAAAAAAAAAAAACACCCTCAAATGCGGATTGTGAATCAAAACGAATTACATTAAAACATAAATTTAATTACATTAATTACATATAGGTATCATTGGGACTTTTAGAAATTAACATTAAATTGAGGTTCTACTGCATATTTCTTATAAGCATCACAGTCAAGGGAACACAAGAGAAGAGAAATGAGTAACAGTCCTCCTGGGCACAAACCTGGGACCACCACTGAAGTGAACCCATCTTTTCACTCAGGAGAATTTCAGAACACTACAATTTATCCCTGTGCTCAAGAATAGTTGTGTAAGAATCATTTACTTAATTTATTTTTTAGACAATACAGATCTCTTTTTCACCACTTAGAAAAATTTCTGCTTCGATGTAGCTGCCTACTGATATGATTTTGCTGTGCCACACCACTGTTTAGGAGATCATGAAAATGAAAGAACATTTCCTACTTTTGTCAGTGATGTTCTTTATTGGTATCTCAAGTAAATGGAAATTAAATTGGCAATGTGGATCAGCAAAGAACGTCAATTTCTTGACGGCATACCTTCAAGGCTTCTGTGCAATGTGTTGCCATGCATCCAATTAAGAACTAGAAGCATGCAGAAGCTGCTTAAGCATGGATTCAGATATAAAATTACATCACAAAGGACAACACTTCACGGGATTGTCATTAACATATATTCATTTTAATATTGTTTGGTAGCCACAATTAGTATTTTGAAGCTTCAATCCACATTTGGTTGCTGTCAACAAGAGAAATAAGAGTGGTGCAAAACATTCTTGAATATGCACATTTAACAATTTAAAATTTTTGGTTTTTGAGTTTCTGTAAATGTTTTGTTTGACCAATGGAGACCCTAAATTTCACTTACTTCTTGCTTGAAAAAATACCTTCTCTCGTTAAAGGGGTTCGAAACACAACACTTTTTCACTTTATACTATACAAAGAACAAAACTACAGAGGATGACTGACACAAAAAAGGGATCCCTGCATTTCATGGAAGAGGATATCCTTATCAGTATATATTGATTAATGTTGCCCTGCTAAAGCAGTCACGACCAAAGGTCGATATTGCTGTGTTTACCACTGCTGTGTTGCAGTCTTCACAAGCTGCAATTGCAGCTATTGGCAAAGAGTAAGTCTTTTTTTTCACTTTAGAGTTCGGTTTGTGTCTTGATGGTTTGAGCTATTGTGCTTGATTGATAGCATGAGGTCTATTAAGCCTGAATACAAGAATGAGGAATGATTTCGAAGGACATCTAGAAAACCGTTTATGATACAAATATGGAAGTTGCAAAATTAAGGTATAGGTATTTCAAATTTTTTGTTGAAGTACTTACCAAACATTTTGAATAATGTGTCTAAAGAATCAGGTGTTATTTTTACAGTTCTAGGAAAAATGCATCTTTTGAAGATGACACACGAATCTATCAACCAAAAGACTGAATTAGGCCCTACATCAGAGATCATTACGTTCCACATTGGAAGTTTTCCCAGCAATTTTTGTGAATTCTACAGAGCTGTTGGTTTTTCTTTCATATTGACATCGAACAGCAATCCTTTTGTGTATTTCCTCACACTATTTACTAATACCTGACACCACATGGAATTTTTGTTTCCAAATTGATCGAAAGGAAGCGGAACTGAGAGCAAAATTCATTTGTCGAATTGCTTTCCCTATCAGTAAAGTGAAATTTGCTGAAAACACTTTCTATTGAAAGTTTAGGAAACCAGACGATGTTCTCAGCAAAATCAATTTAATTAATTGGATAAGAGCTAGATTTATTACTTGAATAGATACTCATCATCTACAGCAGATAGGAAGTCATTAGCGTCAACAGTAAGAAATGCCATTTTCCACTAGCACAGTGTTTTTCTTTCACAGTATTTTTTCCTCAATTTCTGTGCAACACTAGGAGTTTCCACAATTACTATTGCTCCAGATTCAGGTTTGGACTAACACAAGACCAGAATCAACAAGCATGTCAGTAAATCCAATTCATTGTATTCAGATGTTAAAAAATGTTACAAACATCTTATAGTGGCATTTAAAGATAAAGGTTCTTTTGCAAAATTGAACCATCCAATGCAAAAAAGGGTACATGTTCACATTTCAGCTATTTTAACGTTATGATTACAGAAAAGTTTTTCTGTAACAATGTTCAGATACTGCAGATTTATGCAAAAAATGTACAAAATGAAATGTGTCCTGTTGCAAACAGTTTTTTCTAGCCCCTGTAAAGATGTGAAAATGTAAGATGTACCCTTTCTGCAATGGACAGTTCAATTGTGTTCATGGGAAAACTTTCTCTTTAAAGATAGTAAAGAATAATTATTTTTTTCCAGATGAATTTTCAAGTTATTTGTTGGATACACCAGATGCCTTGTTCACCCGTAAACAGTGTAGTCAAAAGAATGAATAAAAACCCTGCAGTCAATGCAATTTATCACAGCTGCAGATTACAGCAGCAACAGACAGAGCATGACATACATGAGGGAGCAGGAACTTCCCAGTAGTGAGACATCTTAGGATTTCCAAGAGACCACCAAAACTCGAGAACAGAATAACATAGCAAATTGTGTCCAAGACAGCTCACTATGAACTTATTTTTTGTGTTTTGATTCCCTTTAACTATTCATTACATGTAAACACCACAATAAACACGTTAAACATAAAGAAACAACCGACCTGAGATGGCTGTGATGGCAAACCACTTTGCTGGTAAGGTCCTCCACCCTTCGTTCCAATAGCACCAATTTGTTGTGATGAAGGCTTCACACTTGCAGACATTAATGAATTAGATGTGGAAGAAATTAAAACAGTGCTAGGGTTACTGCTAAGTTGTTGTGATTGACCAAATGGACCCTGAGCAGCCTGTACAAAAGAGTAGGTAAAAGCGATTTGCATCAAAATAATAATTTATATTTTATAATAGTTTCATGAACTTACAGGAATTCTATATTGGGATAATGATGATGGATATATATCAGGTGCAGCACTTGGTGGAGGATGAGGTGCAGTTGGAAGATACATGGATTGTTGATTGAATGCAGATGTCTGCCCTGCAAGGCCTTGGTTTAATCCATATGGTGGAAATCCTGAGAACTGTGATAGTGCTTGGCCACTCCGAACCTGTTATGGGATAAATAATTCATAAGTATTTTGAAAATTCACAACAATACTATCAAAACTACTACTACAATAATAATAATAATAATAATAATAATAATAATAATAATAATAATAATAATAATAATAATATACTTTTACAGACCTGAGTACCATCTAGTTGGAAAGCTCCATATAAACCACCTTGGCTAGGAATTTGCTGAGAAGAATAAGACAGCACGGTTGGAGGGGAGGGAATTGCTGAAATACTACCAAATGGAGCGGCAGTACCGCCAAGAGTAGGCTGCAAAAATAAATTACATCAATACTCAATACTCAACACTTCTGTATTCCTTTTTTCCCCATTAAAAATATCAAAGTTGTAAGAAAAAGCAATTGGAATTGCATGTAAAATTTCAGCATTGTCCAACAATCAACAAGTTAAATTTAAGTAAAGACAATTGAGTAATTAAATGACCATGTGCACCGGTGTCAAACATTAAGAGTAAACAACCACACAGGCCAATGGGTGTAGATCTCTATAAAGAGAAAGGAATTAAAATAATAATAATAATAAATAAAATAAAAGAAAGTGAATAAAAAATAAGCCATTAACTGGACCTCTCAATTCAATAGATATATGTAATATATCTACAATGATTTTATTAATTTATTAATGAGTAGCGTTTTTGTTTTAGAAAGTTATCTCTAAAATAAAAGACTTATATCTTCAGTTGAAGTGAATTTAGTGGGATGCTACTTACTCCCATTCCCATATTGCAAATTCAGTGCTATTTTTTCATAAGAAAAGAAAAGAAAAGAAAAGAAAAAGAAAGAAAAGGAAAGAAAAGAAAAGAAAAGAAAAGAAAAGAAAGAAAGAAAGAAAGAAAGAAAGAAAGAAAAAATAATAATTGAAGCCTCTGTGCTGATTCCTTTTACGAAGATGATAATAAGACTTATGTTGGACTAACACAAAAACACACTAGTCAGGAAAAATATAATAAATAATCTTACTGCTGAAGCACTTTACTTTTAAAACACTGAAAATAATGATAAATGAGCTATGTGAAAACACTGGTTCATAAAACAAGTGCATTTTTGTTTAATTTCCAATTACTCTCAATGATCACCAGTGCTAGTGATCTCCACATTACATAACTTGTGTAGTTACTGTACAGTCTTCCAAATTGTAATAGAGCAACAAATTAGGAGGAAACCAAATTAAATTTTTGCTTTTTTTTTTCTGATTACTGTGCACAACATTTCCGGCAATATTTTTAAATTCATGTAAAACTATTAGGAAAAATCAAAAATAGCTTCATTAAGTTTATGGTACAATAAAAGTTATAAAATACCTGAAAATATACAAAACGTCCTTCAAAATTTCTTAATTTCACGAAGGAAACTATAAAAGAAGATAATGAAGTATAAATATCTGTACAATGCTGTAAACTGATACAATTAATATAAATTTTAATTTGATCAGAATTAAGAAAATTTTAACTTTGTGTTTTGATTATTAGTGCATATTACTTTATTTTTTCACTTTGAAATCAAATTTTTGAACTCTGTATTAAACTACATGCAAAATACTTGGATGATAATAAAACAAGAGTTTAAGTGACACCAGTTTCCTTCATTATCTTCATGGTTTTCTCGTCCACAACTAAGTTGAAAACAAATCCTGTGTGGTAACAGACATACACGATAAAATAAAAACCAAATGGTGGAAAGCAAAAAAGAAATTTAACACACATTTGCGAAAGAAATTTCAAAAACATGAAACTTTAAAAAGCAAATAACCACAAACCTTTGGCTTTCATATAAAATGAATTCTTTGCATACCTGATAGTTAATATGTCCTTGCTGAGTGTTGGATGAATTGAAAGGTGGTGGAGATAAAGGACCAGGGTGTCCAATAGGTGATGGACCGGCAGACATTACTGCTTGTTGTTGGGGTTTTACCTGAAGATACAATATTAGAAAAATAAAATTAAAAAGATTATGTCAATATAAGGTACATATAAATGGATAAATGGTAATTTGGAACTGCTGTTCAGAACTTCAATATAAGCTCTAGCACTGGAATCTTCAGTCCCTTATTTTAACATACAGCAGTAATTTAAGCGAACACTGATACAATTAACATCAGTTGTGTTCTCAAAACAGTACAAGACATACAAATGATGATAATAATAAAAAAGAAAATGTTTACATTCAGAAAAGGAAATGTACATAGGCATTAACAAGTAATTCAGAAAGTAGCACAATTTTGTTGTCGCATAATAGTATGTCTCTCATTATGGCACATTAAATTGCAAAACAATAGTCACTAACAAAGATGTTTCTTTTTGCCTCTTTTCAAATTTTTCCAAAGAGCAACTAATTATTTACTCACTTTGCAGACATTACTGGAAGTAGATGGGACATCACTCTTGACCATGTTTGGCACAGCAGACACAGCAACGTTTCCACTGTAACTGTTGGGATTGTTCTGAATTTGTGGGCCAGAGCTGCGAACCAAAATGTGAGAGATGGAACACCTCGCACATTGTTATACAATAAAATGTTTCCTCTTTGGCAAAATTAATCAGTTATTATTATTATTATTATTACTATTATTATTATTATTATTATTATTATTATAGTATTATTGTTATTGCTATTATTATTATTATTATTATTATTATCATTATTATTAAGCAAAATCAATCGTTATTTAAAGTGCATCATCCTTGTGCTAATTACTGACAATTCATTTCACTCAATGCATTTTATACATTACTAAATACAATATTCAACAACATTTAACACCCTGCTCCTTTTTCTTGCCAAACTAGTCCACTACAAAACTTTCTTTTACTCTTTTCTTTTTTTTCTTCATATTCAATAGTTAAAAATGTGACATCACTTGTTTACGTACATCCTCAAATTCATTCCACACGGGCTGCAAATATTGATAAAAATAGTGATGTTATGTTGTCATTTGTAAATAATCTTTCAATTTCTTATCAAACTGATTTTGATCAAACATAACAAATTGATGTAATTTTTATTCTGACAAGTCATTGCCAGAAAAAAGGACATTTTGGTGTCATATAATAAATAAAAATTGCAAACAGGCTCATATTTGAAAACTCATTACGAATTGGTGCCTAAGGGAGAGACAGTAAATGGCACTTTCTACATGAAAGTGTTACGACGACTGAAGAGAAGGATCTACAGGTTGTAGCCAGCTATCGTTAGAAAGTGGAAATTGCATCGTGACAATGCACCCAGCCACATCTGCTCCAAAGAGTGAAAATTGAAAACCTGACGAAAAACTGCAACATGAACAGAATATTTCTTAATCGCAAAAGTGATTTCCTCCCTCAAAAGACACCACCGTGGAACCCTAAGCACCATTAAAATAAAAAGCTTGCAAGCGTACCCTGCAGAACGTTCCAGAATCCACCTGCTAGGGAGCCTTCAACTCGTGGAAAACTGGCAAAAGTGTGTGATCACTTGAGGTATGTACTTTAACGTATTTTGAGGCACTGTAACAGCATCTGAAATAAATCTATTTTTCCGAAACTTTTCACAATAACTTTTATAGAAATCTTGCATTTGTATTGTCTAGAATTCATATTTTTACTTCATGTACTTTACTTCTAAGGTCTTCTGTTACTCCACTACAGGAGAGAATGAGCAAATATTATTCACCAGCACTTTTATCCTACGACTAGATTTTTGATCTCAAAAACAGAGTTTGTCTCCTTGATAGAATTCACTTTGTGATTCTCTTTTCTCAAGTAAAATAGCTGAAGCTATTTTTAAAAATGTTTACATGCTTTCAGACAAATTTGAAAAAGTGGTAAAATAGCGTGCTGTCATTGTCAAAGCAAATTATTCCTCCTGCGAATATGTTAAAGATTTCTAAACCAAACAGAATTTTATTCAATTTCAAATATTACAAATTTGAAATTAAATTTATATGTTTACAATGCTTGTGCCAGTATCAACAGTTCACTACAAAAAATTCACAAACAATACATGTATATCATTTTACAACACTTAGGCACATGACATTAAACAATTAAATTCGATGCAAATGTTTAAGATTCAAGTAAAATCTTTTCTACTGCACAACTGTTTCTATACAATTATACACTATAACAAGCATCCAAAAGGAAAGTAATATTAATTTTAACAGTGCCATGTAATGTAATATTTACCATTTGGACTGAATAATTCTAATGAACCTGTAACAAATATTGCACTTCAGCTTCTGAGCCAATGATCCCCATCTCTATCAGTTTTCGTCTTGTTTCCGTGATCCTCGAGCAAATGCCGAGATGGCTCCTGCTTTTACTTCTGGACACACATGTAACTTCAAAATTAAGTCCTGCATGTTTGGCCTTCTCCTCGTAGCACATCACACAAAGTTTTTAACTGTTTTTGATGTAATAAAATTAAATGTCTTTGCTACCCTCCAAGTTCGAATCTTTGAGGGCGCGATGATACTACGTGTTTTTTTTTAACAATGGCAGTATGTACACATGTAAGACTGCGGGTATTAAAAATATTTTAGTATGTGGGGATAGGCTTTTCAGAGCAATGACTTATTTGTTAGCACCCGCCCCAAGAAAGCAATTGTTGTGAGAATCCCTTCTAAGCACCTGCAAGTGTCATATTTCAGCATAAAAAGCTCTGGTTTGGTTCAGAATATTTGTTTTTCACCATAGAATAATTGCAGCACTCAGATACATTATATTTTAAGTGTATATATTACCATCTTAGTTAAAAAAGGTGTCCAAAAGCTGAAATACGAGGTGATGCAATTTAATATAATTCCTGTGTAAAATCTCATGTGAAAATTCTGAATACTTGGTTTATGTTTTTCTCAACTTCTGATAATAATCAGAATATATCCTATATTGTACAGTGTGGCCACACTTAGATTTTTCTTTAGATTTATATTTATTGTTAAAATTTAGGCATGAAATTTGAATTATGTTCTTCAACCTCATGAAATTATTCTCTTGCTCAAAATATGAGCCCTACATCATCTTTGGTATTGGTTGGAACTTACTCAGTATGTAATTCTGAGTTTACCTATGCTATTTGTTTAATTTGTAAGTCATTCTTAATATCTTATTTTGAATTCTAGGGGTGATTATTATAAATTAAATTACCATCTCTCAATTTATTTTTGGTAATTGAATTATAAGTTTTGTATGTTTTCTGGCTTGTTATAAATGTTTAATAATTATTCCTAAATCAGTGTGTGCCTCAGATTTTTTTGGAACACTGTCTATCTTCCTGTTTTACACGAAAACTGAATATTTTTCTCCACGTGGTTCCAAAGGCTTATTTCAGCCATTCTCGCCTAGAGGGCGGGGCTGTCCCTCTTATGATCAATTATTTTCTCTATTCAATTTTGTATAATTTTGTCAGTTTGTAAAACACGCAATCTCCTGAAGATCGCGTTGGTAAGACAAATATTCCGCTGTAGAAATTAGACTATGGCGGAGTGGTATTTACGTCTAATTTATTCTATATACGAACGCGATGTTTGCTCCAGCACACGCTGAGCCTCATCACCCGCCCGTAGCCTTCTGCCACGTTAAAATTTTTTGTATTATTTCTCACATATAGGCACCATTGTTATTTTTTGATGTTCTCGCCATAGCTCACTGCCACATTAAAAACAAATATTGGCAAATCAATTAAATTATTTTAATTGTACATAGAAGACCATTTTAAATTGTACCAATAGTTAATTGTAATTTGCTTTACTGGATTCGCTCGTGGATTTCGCCTGTTATTATTGTATAATTATATTTCCTTTTGTTCCAGAATTGTGAGATATTCCCGATTCTAAAGGGCTCTGCCCCAATGTATTGTATACATCGCTCTAATCTGTATTGTATCGAGTTACAGAGTTGTATAATTTATTGCAAGCGGAGGCTGGAGCCAGAAGCTCTACGTGTTTTCGGGCTCGCAAACTTTGCGTTGGAACAACAGGTGTTTCGGCCAGCATGTCCGCAACTTTCATAAACCGGTCTATGTGTCGCAGTCCCAATTTTGACTGACTGCGCTTCTGCAGGGTCGGAGCGATGCAACTGGTGTCGCGACTTCTCTGAATGATTCGAAAGCTCTGCGTCATGTATAAAATAATTACGAGGTCGTGAGTGTCTCGTATCAGGAAACACCATTGGTTGTAAGGAAAACGCATAGTAGTTTTTATGTAAGAGCGAATCCCAGCAGATACGTTATTGATATTGATATAAAGTTGTTTTGGTACATTGGTCTTAATAATATGCACATCTTATTGGAGAAAAACAAAAGTAAAATGTATATGCTCTTCTTTATTATAATTCATAAAACTGTTATCATCACTTTAAAATCTTGTATTGAATTGAATTAATGCCTTACTTTACATGGCAAGATTCGGGCCACAAGGCCCACTCTTCAGTCTGACCACACAAGTTTCGCTACACTCCTTTCGCCAACAAGCGGTGAAAGGAGGCATTTCTTCGGCGACAAAATAGGCAATTTGAATTTAGGCATTAAGCATTTTTGTGTAAAAAATTAGCAACAAAAAAGCAACAAATTTTGACTAATTCCATTTTCTTAAAGCTTTGCTTTGCAATATTACAGACCTCAAGGAGGTGGTCCCGGAATTTTGTGCAAATGGGCAACTTTGCGAATGCCCCTACCAGGTTCACTTAATACTGATTGGAATGCTTGTCCCCTGCCCTTCTTTTGCTTTATAGTAGCTGCTCCATCTCCTCTATCACTGCTACTAATCATTCTTGAGTCACTAAGTCACTTCAGTCAACGGGACTTGTTCAAAGGATGACCAGGTAAAAATATGAATTATTGGGAAACAATTATTCAAGATAAATTCACTTCTATACTTCGGTTATAGAGGATACAAGAACGTCTACACCAATTATGGCTCCAGTAGTGTGATTTGTAAAAAAAAATAAATTAATTATGCTACAGAATGGCACAGACTTTCTTGACCACATTTCCTCATTTCTTTGCTCTGGGTTATATTTTCGGTTTTACTCCACATTCGTCCCAGCTGCCATCCATTGGCACCTAAAAATACCTTTTTTCACTTTTATTTCAATTTTTTTGTTCCCTAATGATAGAACTGAAACATGTCTAAAAGTACTATAAAAGTGTAAAACTACATCATACATGGACATTTTTGTTGAAAAATTTTAAGAAACTAACGTTTGAGTGTTTCTGATAATGCTGAACTGTGAGCATTTTCTCAGAATACTTTTCAATTTTTGAGGAACTTTATGAGCAAGACCGGATTTTCATGTACTTACATATCTTTTGTGTTTCTACTTACCAATCTAAATATTTTAATCTTGGCGAATCGTCGCCGTCCTAACAGAACATCAAAATTTTTTGTTACATATTTAGTACTGTATTGCATATTTTACATATTTTGCTACTTTCACAAAATATATTTTTTATTCTATCAATTTTCTTTCACATTTATAACTCATTTTTATGAAAAGTAGTATTAAAAAACTCTCGTATTTCCTACATCGTTACTGCGTGCTGTCTACTTGAGGTTTGCTACATAAAGACATGGTAGGATCTTCTCACAGTCTGCATCAGTTATCTCAGTGGCGGGAAGTGTGTGTCAGTGAGTTAAGTTTCACCTTCAGATGTGAAAAGTATCACTGTCATTGCTTCTCGTGAACTTTAAACTTAATTTCTGAAAAAACTTTGCCGATTGTCGACGTGTAACTTTTCGCTGAGAATGCTGAACACTGCAGTGATTGTTTGCTGGTCGTAGATATCGCCAGTTTGTAGGATGGTTTCTATTGCGTTTAGTCTTGCAGCTTTCTTTTCAATAATGCAAAAAGATCTCTATCCTCAATAATGCAGTTGAAGGAAAATACAAAAAAGTTGGAAATTTAAAGAATATAATCTGTCATGTGTCTCTTTAACCCCTTTTAACATGCAACCCTGCATTTTTTGTTAAGTGAACTACCTACCTGTATATTAAGAATTTTAACAATCTTAGCAATGGATTTTAACATTCTTAGCCATGTAATTAAACAATAAATCAATTCATCGCAAGTCTAATGTTTATTACGAAAAAACGCAGCAATATACAAAATAAATCACATTCAACAGAATAAAAGTGACTCGTATTAGTTTTTGAGATAATTATTGTTAATTATAATACAAATAGTATAATTAAAAAAATGTATAATAGGTCTCATTTTCCTGGCATTTCACCAACTGACACTGCTCTCTTGTAATTATATTTACAGATGATTTGAAGGTGTCATCATGATGTCGACGCGCCAACTTCCTCACTGAACAACATTTCTTTACGTATCTTTAGGTTCAGAAGAATTATATGCATCCATCTTTTGGAACCACAGTGTACTAATATTGTTCAAATAGATACATCGCAAGCAACGCCTAACAATTTGGTAGTAATATGCTGCAGCAACAGAATGCATACTTTCATAGTAATGTTGGAATTTTCGCTTAAGCCCTGAGATTTTATGGTGACCTATAAAATGCTGAACATACCACGAGATGTTACAGCGGTATTATTGACTCATCCAAATTAAAAATTTCAGCTACGCTCTACCTCAATTTTTAACTTTTTGCCTGTGCAAAGGAGCAGCATTTCTAGGTATGTTAATAGCTACAACGAAGAACAGTCAAGCTATTTTTGTAATCCTATTCTATTCAATCTAGGAAAAAACGAGAGAGAGAGGGGTGGGGTGGGAGAGAGAGGAGTGGGTAGGGAGGGGCGAGAGAGAGAGAGAGAGGAGTGGGTAGGGAGGGGCGAGAGAGAGAGAGAGAGAGAGAGAGAGAGAGAGAGAGAGGAGTGGGTAGGGAGGGGTGAGAGAGTACTTTCGCTATACTTTTTCATTGCATTTCTTTCGCTATACATGGTATATTATGCATGTAAACAGGAAAATGAAAAGAATTATTCTACAATCTTTTGTTAGGATATTCTTCACAACTGTTCGATCAACTAGTTCTTAATTAATTTGTTTTTCCAATAAAGTTTACAATATTTAAGAGTCAAACATAGATGACGTATTTTCTGAGATTCTATTTTCTGTACCAAATATCAATGTAAGTGAGCACTACACTGCAAACTGCACCGATGTTCCTCAACATAAGATTTAAAACTTAGTATGGTTTTAGGTAAAATTAGGTAAAGTTTTAAATTAATGTGGAATAGAGTGTGGGAAGAAATTTGGAAAATACACCCATATGTTATTTTGTCAGGGCAGATGAACGCCATTTTGAGAAACTTGGCCACTATCTTTGAATATATAACCTATAACATGTAGACTATATCAGCACAGTTCAATATGCTATTATCGGTGTAAACTTAATACAAAAGGATGAATACTAAACGTACATTAATGAAGAGGAGAAAGTGGATAGAAAAGCCATGAATTTAATATCACATCAAAATAATATTTCACTTAGGGTTAGGTATCTCACCTGTACACGATTTCTCCTGGAGTCAATGCTGATCCATCATCACCAGCAACACTCGACCCCTCTACTTTTGGAAAAGAAGGCTCTAAACCCGAATCAACAGGGTTTCCAAAGGTTGGAGTGAAGGACGAAGCTGTGGATGCAACGCTTCCATCTTCATTGTGCTCTATTACAGGAGGTCCAGGAGGAATAGCTTCCCAAACCTAGATAACAAAGAATAAATAAATTTTTACCATCTTTTAAATGACAACAGAAAAAAAATTAAAAAAGAACAAATTGGCCAGGAATTTAAAAAGTCCATGAACATATTTTGTACTCTAGTCACGCAAGTAAACCAGACTATATATACGTGCTGAAAACAAAGGAATAACTGAAATGTTAGTATGAATTATTCATATGCACCATTACTAGATGAAATTTTTTGTATTAATTTCCCAAAAGAAGTTTGATTCTTGGTCTTAAAAATTGACAGTTGTATAACCTAACAATGATACACACCCTATTTCTGACATGTTCAATGGAACCGAACGTTGAAAAACACCTTTCTGCTAGTCTTATGAATTCAGTACACGCAGAAGCCATTAGCAGCCACTAGTCCATAAATGCACCTAAGAAAATATGTTTTCCTGAGGACAATTTTCTATGAAGATATTTTTCTTTGCTGGTATTGTTTTTAAGAGGACAAGAGGAGGAGGGCAGGAGGAGGAGGAGGAGGAGGAGGAGTAGAGAAAGAGAGGAGGAGGAGGATAAGTAGAGAAAGAGAGGAGGATGAGGAGGAGGAGTATAAGTAGAGAAAAAGAGGAGGATGAGGAGTAGAGGAAAAAGGAGGAGGAGAAGCAGAGTATCATGGAAACAGAGCAAATTCAACATTAAGAAAAATCAAATCACAAGTAACAAAATGTACCTTTTTAACAGATGCTATTTTGAAGTTTAGTTCATCAGTAGAACCATGGGAGATTGTAGACTGAACACCTTGAGGGAGGTGCATGGACCGTGGAAGTCCCATACTTTTATTTTTCTTATCATCAGTAAGCTGAGAGAGTTCAGAATCGAAGGTGAAATCAAGCTTCATGTCCACACTATCTTCGTTCTAGTATTAAAACAATTTCTTTAATTATATTAAATTTTTTAAAATATTAAAAAGTATAATTGTTATGTGGACTTACCTTGTTAAATGCAATAGGCATCTGAATTGGTTCTGTCTTATTTTCTGAAGTTTTGTTCATTTCTGGAACTGGTCCAGAATTTTTATTAGCAAAACTCAACTGTACATCTTCAACATCCTCACCGAGCTTTCGTTCTAAGAAAATGAAGAATATAGCATACATTTTCATGTAAGCATTCTCACCCCTAGATGCATATAATTTACCAAAATGGAACAACTGTTTAGGATGTAATAGAATAAAGATAAAAGAGTAATGTTAATGATATTTTATTTGATGAAATGGTCTTATATAATTCAAGTGTTTGACTGCCAAGACATTGTAACATAATTAAAAGAAATATTGTATTTTTTTTACTAATTGAAGAAATGTAAATAATATTTACCCGAACATGAAGATATAGATTGTTAGTCTATTATCTCGCTATTTTTTTTTAATTTTTTTTTTTTGGAAACAATGTGAAATCAGAATTTGAAGAGAAAAATAATTACCAAATTAGGAAACTAAGAAGCAGCATTAGTCTAATCAGGCACAGATTGATGACTATAATAGTAACAAAAATGAATGATTTATTTTAAAATATGAATATCATAACACCTTTTTGGTATGATACCAAATATGTATGTTTACAAATTTCAATTTAGATAGATTCATACAAAAACAGAACATGTGAACTTACAACAGCACATACTTTCTCACTTTTCTTAAAATTTAGAGAGCACAACGAAAATGAGACCTGCACCAGTCCTTTAAGCGTTTCTTGTTCTCTCCATGGAAACAATTTAAAGAAAAAAATTGAAGTAGTATTTTAGATTTGTGTTCTTCTATAATTCGCATTAACTTCGAGTAGAAATTACACAAAATAGTTGTTCTCTTTTAAATTCTCGTTCTTCAAATTTTTGCAATTTTCAATATACAGAGTTGTCAGAAATGAGAATAGCACTTCTGTGATACAAGCAAGATCTGCCCTTGAAAGAAAGAAACACAAAGAAAATGAAAGAAGACACAAAGGAAATGAAAGAAGACACAAAGAAAATGAAAGGAAAAACCTTCAAAGACGCCGGAACTCATTTTGAACTTTTGCAATTTTCAAACAATTATATGTTAGAATGCACAGGTGGGCAAGCTTGCATACATGTTTTGCCGGCATTTTTGCGGTATGAAGGACCCCAAAAACATGGATTCTTGAATACACGTGTTAGTTTATTTGTTTTTTCACCAAGAAATCAGATTTATGCACTTTTTCCTTTACCAAGGTGCAGCAATAAGAGATTTACAGTCCAAAATTCGTAGCACAATTACAAATTTTCACGTGAGTAGCAAGGGTGAGCAAGTAAAAAATGTTTTACATCATGAAAAAAGAGTACTTTCCCTTTTTTGAGTTTGTGGCACAGGAGCCCGGGAGATTGGCAAAATACCTTCTAATTAATATTATTTTCAGACTGAACATATTTGAATTGTTTTAGAAGAATTGCAATGCATTTTTTAGCTGCAGATACCTAATTTTAATATTTTACCTTCATTTGATCTATTGCTTTCTTTTGACATTTTTTTTTCCTTTTTCCTACTGGCAGCAATCTCTATCAAGCTGAAAACATATCTGTGAGCCTAGACAGCATGGCGTTAGGGCATCGACTTTTTTTTTCTCTCTCTGCAATTGTGGGAACAGTGCATTGCTGTTTTAAGTTGTCTCTCTTAGTAAATCTCAGCTGACCCAGAGGGCTTCAGTCAGTTCATCCTCCTCTGCAGGGAGAAGCCCAATTCCAGTCGCGCAGAGCTCAACTCCCTGGCCACGAATGGCTTTTTTCTCTTTTCTTTTCTTCCTTTCCAAGAAGTAATTCAACATTCAAAACGTTGCTCCAATCGCACAACTTATCTACATCATCAGATACTAAAACAAGATTTCAATGTGCATAGAGCAGGCTTGGCTGTAATAGAACACTGGAACCATGGAATGGTTACACATGGTGACTATTTCAAATTATTTTTTAATTATTTCATACGCATTCAAAGCCTTAACTATCACTTAGGGTTAGAAAAGGTTCTAATAAAAGTTTTAAACAATGAATCAGTAATTTCTTACCAAGCAAAGATAGAAGAAACTAGTGATAGTACAGAATGGCATAGACTCGTGTACTAGTCTCTTTGGCATCTAAAAGACTACCAGAGCATCTCTCAGTACCTACCGCTCCTCAGGAGTGTGTGGAGAGTACCTCTCAACATCACACATACCTATATTGGTCCTGTACATTTACACATTTGCCCACGGTATTCCTTGGCCCCACCTCGGTGCTTGTACAATATTGTTCTGGGGATGGGATCCAATTCCTCAATTTTATACACAGTTGCCTGGATGGAAGGATGGACTATGGAAGGATTACGGTATAGAAGTAATACATGAGATACTCAAAATGCCCACCACGCATCAAACAGCTTAAAACATTTATGTCCTTTGAGCATTTCAAACCCACTACATCCGTGTCCACTTACATTGTCTCACCTGCCCCAAACCTTGATCCCATGAGACCGTTGTCAACATGTTACAGCTTGGAAGCAAATTTCATAAAAACAAAAGTATAACTAAAACAGACTTTTTATTGCTTACAAAGTGTACCCCAGGACCTATGCCATCATTAGTTTCCATTGCAAAATGCAAAGACACTTTAGCATTAAAACCTACACAGGTTTTTGTTAAAATTAACAGACTCTAAACCAAATGTTGTGAAACATAATATTTACAGCACATATATCAGTTAAATTAATGGTTTAATTTACTTTCATGTAATATTTATATTGAGGAAATAACATAATCAAAAACATTCCTATTTTTTCACATTTTCTCAATTTTTCTGTCTTTTAATAGTAGAAATGAATTGTGACTTTAAGAATACAGTAGAAGAGTATAACACAGTCCAATATGTAAATTTTCATAGGAATATTTTGGGAGTAGTTTTTGAGAAACTGTTGAGTTTCTGAAAATACGCAATTTTGAACACTTTTCCAAAGGAAACTTATAAAACTTCTTGTATCCCCTAGGACATCTAAACTGTTTCTGATATTGAAATGTTTTCGCTCAACAATGTAAAATCATGGGGCATGTAAAGTGCCTCAGAGATATTGTTCGAAATATTTTTAGTTTCCAAGAAATTTAATTGTCTTTATTTTTTTAAATGGAACCATTATTAATCTCACTAGCAATGGATAGATCTTAAATCAGCGAATGCAATGGTGTAAAATATGATAATGTTTTTATAGTATTTTCAGTATAAAATTATACTAACCATCATGTGATTTTATATTAAATATACAAGAATTCCTGTAGCACACCTTTCAAATGTCTCCATTAGGGAAGGTTGCCATCGCAGTGCTGGCATTTTTACGGGGAGAGGGGAGAAGCCACGAAGGTCGGGTTAAAAGCGACAGACAGACAGGCACCAAGACAGATGGAAAGCTAGTTTAGCAGTTCTTGGAAACTTTCAACATTACAAATTTGTAACATTCCATGCAGCTTCACCGAAGTATCAAAATATTTTTAAGAAACTAATTTTGCTTTCTTTGGTGTCATACCAATATTTAATTGAAATATATGAAATAAATGAAGTACTTCAATAGTTTGGAATTAATGGGTTAATGAAATATATGCTTCAAAATTTCAGTTGTTTTCATGTAATTTTGCATGAAATAAAGGCATTTTTAAAAAGTTTTTCTTAAAAAGGCTGCCAAATTTTTCGAATATTTTCAATGGAATAGGAATTTTAGAAATGTTTTGAAATGTGCAGTAGAATATGACATAATTGTTATTTTAATGTAAAAGACACTTTAACTAATTACATAAACCGATGTTCAAATAGTACTACAATATATACAATTACAAATAAATGGAGGAAGTAAGTGCTGTTTTAGAACCACTAATAATCAATTACCAGTGGACACGGCATTATTACAAAAATTAGTTTATTAATATGAGCATAATAGAAATAAAAAAAAATCCCCTTTTTTGATCAAGATTATTTCTCACTCTCCTTCTATGCCTTTTGAGGATCAGAAAGCTGACATGAGGAGGAAGAAACAAGGCAGGAAGTAGAAAAAATGAGATAGGAGAAATATAGATGGAAGAAGAAACGGAATAAAGGTAAAAAAAGTAAGACAGAAGATTCAAATGGAAGAGATGGATACAGATCCAAAAGTTGGTGACAACACTAGTTTCAAACTTATTTTTTAAAATAATCCAAAACAAAAGTTTTCTCGTGTTATTATCATTATGAATGTGTTCAAGATATACTATCGAGTTTAGGGTCTGGTCATGGAGGAAAGTATAAGAGGGTAAACACTGTTAAAGAGTATTGATTTAGAGGATGCACCCATGTTGTTTTTGTGCGAGAGCCTCTATTTTAAGGTTTATGCAGAATATAAAATGATAATTCAGTAATTTGCTATTCAGGTCGAGGTAAGAGCTTACTTCTACCACTGATTTCATCCACGAGAGCAACTCCACCAACTAGTGGAGAGGATGTTATCCAGGACAATCAACTATATACGCAACTATTTATGGCACCATTTTCTTTGAGAGCAATTTTCATTGGTATACGTTATCAAATGTTGTCGATCATGATGGCGAAATCTTGGGCTCCAGGAAGCTCCAATGCTATTCAGCAAGAAAAAGGAAAACAATTCTTCAGGTTGCCCTTCATGCTTGGATGGTGACAAACATCTGGAGTTGTGATGAAATACTGTAGTTAAAAGGGAGTAAATTACTGCCTGTTGCACATTTGATTGTTTTATCGAATTCATAAAATAATTACATTTGTCAGCCACACAGTTCGATTAAAAACCCTAATAACCGTAATTACCCAAATATAAGGCAAGGTTTTCTCTAAAATATCTCAGTCAAAAAAGTGTTGGATCGTCTTATATTCGCTGATTAAGACTAACTGGGTTCAAGTTTTTACATTGCCATTGCATGTTAGAAAATTCATAAATGTTGACTTAACAATAAAGATGGTAAGATGGTAAAGATATCAGTGTGCAAGGATGGTAAAAATATCATTCATATCTACAATACATAATTATATTAGTGTTCGTATTCTCAGCATCCATCACGAATTTGAGGGCAATTCAGACTGATATTTTTTAACGATTCTCTAAAGCGAGCATTTCAAAACTAATGGCACTGGATCAAATGAAACGTGAAAATGAATGTAGAGATTTTGTTGTACAATATGAATTTGATGAGGCCACACATAATCTAAGTTCGACATCTGGCGAATGCGAATCTGTTTCAAGCAGAAATAGAGGCCATACAAATATGGGACGGATAGAAAATCTGTCAACATAGAAGATAATTTTCTTAGGTGGCTAGTGACAAAATACCACAAACAACACTAATTTTGTCTCCAAAACTTTCAGAGGGGCCTAAACAGACTGAAGAAGCCACAGCATAGAAGGAGGACCAAAAATAAAGAAGCATCAGTACATAAGAGGGTAGATGATGAGAGGAGTGGTAGATAATGAGAGTAGTGACAAATATCATGATTTTGATTTGAAGGAACAAGTAAATGACAATTCAGCAATAAATCTTAACATTCTCATCAACAATGCAATTTTTTAGACAATAAGACCATTTGTAATTATATTATATTAATTATATTAGTTAAAAATTCTCAGGAGGACTCTTGAAAATTAGGGGGTTGTCTTACGTTAGGTAAATACAGCAGTTTTCTGTATGCTTTCGTAAGTTTCTCACAACTTAAGAGCTTTGTAAGTCATTGTTTTATTAACATAACGCACAATGGTGTAACATATGTGGAATGTAATGATTGAGAAATTCTGATGTGTTGTTCCAGTATTATATTTTTCAAATATTCAATTTCATTACAGGTGCCATAAGGGACCGGTTCCGTGGGCTAAATGATAGAATAAGGTCAGCTGAAGAAGCCCAAGAAGAAATCTGTATTGCATGACAATAACCTTGAGTAAGTCATTTTTTATACAGAAATGGATACCAATTATTCACAAATCAATAGGCAAAGTGAAGGTAGTGTTCTAAGCTCAATAAATAGATTTTTCTTTTAAACAAATATTGTTTCAAACTTTTCACAACAAATGTGTACTCCCTTGCGGTCCTTGTTGGATTTAAGCCTTCAAATTTTGCCTGTTTATTACCCCTTCAATTGTATGGTATGGAGGAAAATGACATGATAAAAGCACATGTGGTTTAAACTAGCATATAATTTTCGTAATTTATATTGGGATATGAAGCTTTTTTAAACTAAATTGTGTAACAGGAAGAGAATAGAGTGTCATGAGGTCCAAATGACACATAGCTGAATATTTTAATTATTTTAATATATAATAGAATCTCTTCCCTAATCTACAATTAATGGAAGAACTCATGTACATTTGTAATAAAGTTTTAAGAGTGTTGCCAAAATAATTGACTGTGTACGTAAAACAATAATTAAAGATTTATAAACCAATATTTAATACGGCGTAATAAATTGCACATTCGTGTCGCCGCTAAGAAATCCAATCTACTTCCAAATGTACACATTTCATTAAAAACTTGGGTAAATGTCAGGTTAGGTTATTATTTTTTAAATTATTGAACACAAAGTGAAAATGTGCAGGTATGTATTTCTTGCAAGTAAATAATTATGAATACAATTTGATTCCGTAGCTCAGTAGATAGAGATGTTTGGAAAAATAAAGATTGTGGCTTGGTTCCAGGAGGGATTGAATATTTGCAATTTGTGACAATCCATTTTTATGTGGTGCACTAGTAGTCTGACAATCATGACAAAAATTATTTCTAAAGACAAACAACATTTGATACAATGAGCAGGTCATTCTGTTATGTTGATCTAAAACTTTCATGCCAATTGTTCAATATATAAAACGGATTTTTGTGTTATAATTTGTAAAGTTGGTGGGGATATAATTATAACAGTATTAATACAGATGTGTAGCTTTGTGTGTCTAGACTGTTTAAAGAATAAAGTAATGTTGACAATACCAGACATTTCTTTTGTACCTGATTGAACAATCATGTAAATGATTATGTAAAATTACTTTCAGAATATATTTGATGAATATTATACAAAAAATTTGTATTTTTTTGAAACTGTCAATTGATTTATCCCCTGTTCAAATTCTTTTTATTTTTATTTTTTAAGGCATGCCAATAGCGGAATACATGACATTTATGACATTATCTTAATTGGATGTCCAAAAAGTTGATTCTGTACTGTGCAGCTATGACATTGATCAAGAAGTATTCATGTTGTCCACCTGAGTGTAGAAATATCTGTTTTCACATGAATCTTATAGTAGATGCTGCCACAAGAGTTTACCCTCCTATAGAGTATTCCTCCATAGCCTGGACACCCAAAATTATGTTTCAGTAGGAGATTTTTTCATTTTTTGAAACAATTTATAAATTGCAGATTATTCACAAAAGCCCAACTGGTTTTACATACTTCTTAATTTATATTACAATGCCTTTAGAGAATTTACCCCACATTAGCGTTCGTTGCAATTATTGCATATGATTGTCACATTCATCACTTTCCAATTCAGGCCATTCATTAAACACATCCTAAATTCATACAGCAGAAGTGGACAAATTACAGCAAGTAAGAGAGAATACAGAAAAATTAATTTGCACAGAAAAAACAGAACAAAAAAAGCATAACAGCAACTAATAAATCATTCAGAAATTGATAGATACTATATTGAATCAAGGGTGGCACATTGGATCAGTTTGAAATAAGATCTTAAGCAAGTAAACGTGTAAATAATTCTAAGCTTCACAAGACAATACACACAACAATAAGTATTTGCATTCTGTATCTTACTCATATAATTGTTCAGCATTATGAAAAAATGTGTGTTGATGATACTTTACACCATCGATCTAGCGAGAGGATGTACATTTTTATTTGCTGTGATCACACATTCTGTATTATAGTTAACTAAAAAAATTAAGTATTCAGGTGTAAAAAATGGAAACTGCTATTTCACGTTTCCCAGGGAAATACCAACTGTTACACCTAATGAAAGTACAAGCTATTTTCCAGGTAAGTGATTATTGTCCATTATTACCATTTCTGGAGAACACTAGAAATGCAGGAAAATCTACTCCCACTTCTTTGCGAGTCAATTTTGATTTTGCACCAAAAGTCAAATACCATTATTTACACTTGCAAAACTAAATTATTGAACTGTTTCTTACCTCTGCCTTTATCAATTCTTGAATTTTTTAAGTGATTACTGAACTTTGCTGCCTTCATTCCTAATTCGCTTGGGCCCGATTTGTAATTCGTATTTTCGAATATGATTGTCTGTACGGGAGGGGATGTTCCATCTAGAACCGTCTTTTCAGCAACCTGAAAAGGTGTTATTTTTAGTTTAAAATATTCTACCATTAATTATTTATGGGCTATTAATAATTAAATTTCTATTTGCAACTCACCTCTCTCCCTAATTTCCCAGATACTTTATCACCACTAGGTGTACTTCTCTGACTGCTAGCCCCAGACTGTGCTTGTTCGTTAACCTCCAGATTACTAGGGAAAAAACATGCATACACTTTTGGACTGGCATTAAGTATAAGATCTTGAAAGTCATTTGAAAATTAAGAAAGAATTAATTACCAATTTTCAGCAGAGTTTGTAATAGTTCCACTAATTTGTATTGCTGAACTTCCTGCATTAGCAGAAGGAGAATTTGGTCGTAGTGCAGCATTGATAGGTTTATCCCACGCATTTACAGTAGGGGGCGGAGCCGGATTTGGAGAATCTACAAAGAATATTAGTTTGTCTTCAGGTAAGTGAAGTTTTTATACATGAATATTAATTTCAAAAAACTTGTATAAGCTTACCCTTGATTGGAAATATGCTGACACTTTGATTAATTTTGTTCATTTCTGAAACATCATTGTGAACAGACACATATTGCTGTTGTTGCTGTTGCTGTTGTTGTTGCTTCTGTATTCTGCTTGTTTCTCGTTGTTTTGCAAGTCGAGGAGGCAGTTTGGGTCTCGGCCGATCAAAGGTTTTAATATTTCCTCCAAGTCCTTGTGATATGTTTGGAGGAGCAGGGGCCTGAGGAATGGGAGTTGGGATTTGCTGAGTGGAACCAGGAATAGGTGAAGGAATTTGACCACTTCCACTGTTACTACTCTGCTTATTTCCCTTTTGACGGCCTCCTTCCTTATCACGTACCCCAGACGATCGCTGGGGCAGAGGTGGCTGCTGAGAAACTCCTTGCATTTGTTGGGAAGCTTGGGATGTTGATTGTGGCTGCTGTAGCTGGGTTTGCTGTTGGGGCTGTGGCTGTGGTTGCTGTTGTTGCTGCTGCTGCTGCTGTTGTTGTTGTGGCTGCTGCACTTTCTGTTCATCTTTTTGTCGAGCTTCTTTCTTCTTGTTGCGTACTTCTTGGAAACCATTGTCTGCATCATCAAAAGTGAAACGCTCTTCCTCCAACGTCACTCCTGGCTGGTCATCAACTACCACCACACCTATTAAAGAGTACAGGCAACACAAAACAAGGGACTCACACATTCTGTTGGTAAAAAACTTGATAAATCAAGCACAAACAACTTAAATATACAAATATAAAATAATAAATACTAAAGCAAGCACAAATTGAAACAAAAATTGGTTAGTAGACACAAATAAAATTCACATAAAATAAATTCACCCGAGTAAAACACTTCAGAAAAAAATCATTACATAACACACAATTCAAACACTTGCATCCATGTAAACAAAATAAACATCTACATGTAGGAGAGGGTGACAAAAAGTTACTGCCACAAATCCAAACAAATGGTCCTTGGGGTATAAAAAGCTTCAATAAACATTAAATCAAAAGAAACACCCATACACTCACAAAACTTTCTTGTACAAGGAACCCTACAGAGAACTAAATGTGCAAAAAAACACTTTGTTAACTTTGTGTATCTTCTGATAATCTGAATTTCTATTTTTAGAAAAAAATCTATTGTCATTACAACTAAACTACTAAAACTGAATATAAAACCATTAAATGTCAGGTGCTAGGAGCCAAGTAACTTGCACTTCCTCTCTCTCTTCCCAGCCAATCATAAAGCAAAAGCAACAATTCAAACAGCAATAGGCAAAAAACATTCAGCAGTCAACAGAAGAGTTGGTAAAAGGTGTACGTAAAACCTCTTAACACATTTCAACCTGGACAATCCTGTCCCTGTGGGACTACTTCTTATTCAAACACTTCTTTCCATATGGCAATGCTTCAATCCAAAGATTTACAACCCATAACAATACACGAGAATTAAGTCATATCTTCATAACAATGCATTCTTGTATAACAATTGTACAACAGCTTGCTCTTGGCTGTCTAAGACCCAACTAACTTCCATTATTCAATGAAATTTTTTCAATGCCTCTAGATGCTCAGAGTAGTTTGCCACAATTCAAATCTTGCTCAATGTATTGAACAATATCCTTTCACCCATCCAAATGATAAGCCTATCACTTTATGTTTTGGTTTTAAATAGCAGGTACCAAAATATTTTGTGGTTGCAATAGAAATACTTCAATTTGCGAAATTTCACAATAGAAACGTACATTTGCAATTTTCAAGGACAATTAAAATCCTTTGCCTGACCAAATAATGAATTTACATTTTGTGCAAGTTTTTATTCATTGTTATAATCATACAATGATATCCTTCATTTTTCTCTACTATCAGATACTCCAAATTTCAGTTACAGGCTAAATAAAGATGTGTCCTTTACATATGACTGTTCACGAGGTGAAAAATCTCAGGGAGAGGGGTGCTTTAACACAGGAAACTGCTTGTGAAGGGAATGGACAGTGTGCCAGGAAATCACTTACTTGCAAAATTGTTGAGGTCAATTCCATCCAATGGATTAGTCTTGTCTTTCTCCACCCTACTGTTCTTCTTAGCCATGTTTAAATCATTTATGGCCTGATTAACAAGACCTGGGTCATTTATCTTCATATCATCCATTCTATTCACAGAAGCAGTAGTTTCTTTTCCAGCTACCTTAGAAGTCAAAGGGAGAGCCTGGTTACTATTACGAGAGTTAGGGCCACGACCATTAGATTGGGGGGCACTACTAGAACCACAAATACTAGAATTAGGCACTCTCTGTCCACTACCAGAAGGAAAACCATTGCTAGTACTGCCATTTGAACGTTGCTCGTTTCCAGGCCGGACATTTCTTCCATTTGGACTTGTTGCATTACTGGTAACACCACGTGAGGAACGTGGATTACCAGAGCCTCTTGAACGACGGCCATCACGTTTTGGAAAGGTTTTCCGACCGCTCTTGTTTCCATCATCATGCTCCTCGCCTTCACTGTGCTCCGAGGTAGTCTCCCAATCTTCTGCTACATCCGATGAATTCTGTTTAGCCCCTACACTAGTGCCACCAGTGATGTTTGCAGACCTATCCACCCTGCCTTGAAGAGGTCCCCTGCCACTGCTCCCACCTCTGCGACTCTTGCTGCGACTTGAGTCTCTTGGCTCTGTTTCAGACTTTCCCTGCATTCTAGGTGGCACTTGTGTAGTCTGCTTCCCACCCCCACCAAATTGTCGAGCCCCACTGCCAATAACACCTGCTGCAAGTGCCTGCAGTTTTAATTTATTCTTGTCTTCATTGCTCACCAGCTCACCTCCAATATCCTCCTTTGAAGGGTCAGGAGCTCCATCACAATTCTTGTTCTTTGGGTCGTCATTCCCAGCAGGGTGTTTGCCATCCTCTTGGGGTTGACCAAAAGGGCTCTTTGAAGATGGAGGTCCATACCGCCTGCCCACACTCCCTCGTCGAAAAGCACCTCCACGACCCCTCCGCGAAGGTTCTCCAACCGGTGCAAAGCCCTCTCGACCACTGTTGCGTACAGCATCATATCCTCCAGACCTTTTATCATAACGATGAAGATCTGTGTTACCAAATCCCTTTTCTCCATCAGCACGGCGGGATTCTCTACTTTTCTCCTCTTTTTCCAATTTCTTCTGGCCTTGTTTTGGAGACCTGCAGTGAAGAAAAATTAACATTGTTTACAACAAAGAAATGCAAGAACTAATTGTCTATCGATCCTTATAAGTAGAAGAAGAAAAAATCATCACATAAGTTTGTACAAAAGGTCATGCTAGGTAATAACACATTAACAGTGGTCACAGGTCATCACTTTACACAACATTGAGCTGAACGTTCAAAATACAATTAACTTTTACATTACATGCTTTAATAGGTAATACTCTTTCCAGTTACCCATTTTTTCTACAAGTATCATTGTATCTGAAAATATAGAGCAAGCAAGACATGCAATTCAGATGTGCTGTATGAAGTGTATCAAACCCAAATTTGAAAAAAAGGTATTACATACCAAGTATTCAGGAGAATGAAGTAAAAATAGATTTCATTACCAAGAAAGGCGTTTCCCGATATTTTAACCGATAGCAAAATTTGGGCTTTATATACTTTAAACAGCTAACACAATTCTTATTCACAAATAAGTACAATAACATGTACTGTATCCGATCTGTTCTCTAAACTTCATTGTATTACACTTAAAATGACATGGAGTAATTCAAACATGTTCCTAACAATTCCCACAATGTTAATTTTCTGTTAATTATTCTCAGCCAAATTATTGTATTTAACTTTCAAGAAATTTGCATATTATAATAGGAATAGCTTTCATGTGCACTTTGATATGGCTTGGAGTACCTATTAGCATTAACTGTTGAGTCAATTTTTGAAGTCTCTGTGAAGAAGTAAAAGGATGCTTTGAAGAAGAGAATGAACTTTAATTGCTCCTAATGGTTGGTCTCAGCAAAGTTTTTTTTTTTCCGACACGGACATACTACTGACTATGCACAGGCAAAGTCATGTTCAATCAAATCAGTACAACAAAAACAAGCAGACAAAAGCATAAACAGAAATAGCACTCTCTCAAAGGCAAAACAACACTAACAGCGCTCACTTATATTTCAGATGGTGACCTACGGTTAATGACAATTTTCTGAGATGTAAAAAGATAAATTTGTAGTAATTATATAAGCAATAAATAAAAATAAAAGTAGAGAGTGAGGAAGAGAGAGGGGAGGGAGAGAGAGAAGGGGGAGGATGAGATGAGCCGGAGGAGGGGGGGAGAGGAGCGAGAGGTAAGGAGCGAGGAAGGGAAGGAGCGAGACGGTAGAGCGAGGGGGAGGAGGCGAGAGGAGCGAGACGGATGAGAGGGGCGAGTAAGAGGGGAGAGAGAGAGGGGCGAGAGAGGGCGAGTGAGGGGACAGAGGGCAGCGAGTTGAGCGGGAGAGAGGGGCGAGAGAGGGGAGGAGAGGGGCGGAGGTGAGGGGGAGGGGGCTGAGAGAGGGGGGAGACAGGGGCGATGAGGGGGAGACGCGAGAGGAGGGGGGAGAGGGGCGAGGAGAGGAGAGGGCGAGAGAGGGGAAGGAGGGGCGAGAGAGGGGGGAGAGGGGCGAGACGGGGGGGCGAGAGAGGGTGAGGAGAGGGGGGCGCGAGAGGGGCGAGAGAGGGGTGGTGGAGAGGGGGCAAGAGAGGGGGGAGAGAGGCGAGTGAGGGGAGAGCGGGCGAGTGAGGGGGAGAGGGGCGAGGGTGAGGGGGAGACGGGGCGAGTGAGGGGGAGAAGGGGCGATCGAGGGGGAGGAGAGGGCGAGGTGGAAGGGAGGTGAGCGGGAGGGAGGCGAGTGAGGGGGGAGAGGGGCGAGATGAGCGGGGGAGAGGGGGCGATGGAGGGAGAGGGGGGCGAGGTTGAGGGGGAGAGGGCGAGGAGGGAGAGGCGAGTGAGGGGAGAGGGGCGAGGTGAGGGGGAGAGGGGGCGAGTGAGGGGAGAGAGGGGCGAGTGAGGGGGAGAGGGCGAGTGAGGGGGGAAGAGGGGGCGAGTGAGGGGGCGAGAGTCGAGTGAGGGGGAGAGGGGCGGCCGGAGTGGAGTGGAGAGGGGCGAATTGAGGGGGGAGCAGGGGGCCGCGCGAGTGTAGGGAGGGGGAGAGGGGGGCGAAGGTGAGGGAGGAGGGGCGAGGTGAGGGAGAGTATGGGGCGAGTGAGGGAGAGAGGGGGCCGGGTGAGGGAGCAGAGGGGGGCAGGTGGAGGGGAGAGAGGGGCGACGTGAGGGGAGGGGCGAGAGGGGGGGAGGAGGGGCGAGAGGGGGAGAGGGGGCGAGAGGGCGAAGTGAGGGGGAGTGGAGGGAGAGGGGGCGAGTGAGGGGGAGAGGCGGCGAGTGAGGGAGGAGAGGGGCGAGTGGGAAGGGGAGAGGGGGGCGATTGGAGGGGCGATGAGGGAGGTGAGGGGGAGAGGGCGGAGTGAGGGGGGGGAGAGGAGAGGGGCGAGTGCGAGGGGGAGAGGCGAGGTGGAGGAGGGGTAGAGGGACGCGAGTGAGGGGTGAGAGGCGAGTGAGGGGGAGAGGGCGCAGTGAGGGAGAGGGGGCGAAGTGGAGGGGGCGAGAGGGCGAGTGAGGGGGGAGAGGGGGGCGAGTGAGGGGAGGAGGCGGGGGCCGGAGGTGAGGGGAGAGGGGCGGTGAGGTGAGAGAGAGGAGGATTAGGGAGGGGGGAGGGGGAGGGGAGGGTGAGAGCTCGCGGGAGAGAGAGTGCGGGGAGAGGAGAGCGGGGAGAGGAGAGTGAGCGGGGAGGGAGGAGGGGAGGAGTCGGGAGAGGGGAGGGGAGTCGCTGGGGAGAGGGAGAGTGCCGGGGAGAGGAGAGTGCGGGGAGGGGGAGAGGTGCGGGAGAGGGAGAGTCGCGGGGAGAGGAAAGTGCGGGAGAGGAGAGTGCGGGGAGAGGAGGAGAGGGAGGGAGAGGGAGAGTGAGGGGAGAGGAGGATCGCGGGAGAGGAGAGTGAGGGAGAGGGGAGAGTGAGGAAGGAGAGTGAGGGAGATGGGCGGAGGGAGTGAGGGGAGAGGAGAGTTGCGGGGAGAGGGAGAGTCGGAGAGGGAGAGTGAGGGGAGAGGAGAGTGAGGGGAGAGGAGAGAGGGGAGAGGGAGAGTGAGGGAGAGAGAGTGAGGGAGAGGAGAGGTAGGGGGGAGGGGGAAGTGAGAGTGGAGGGGAGGGAGAGATGGGAGGGGAGTGAGATGAGGGGAGGGAGAGTGGAGGGAGGGAATGAGGGGAGGGAGAGTGAGGAGGATGAGGGAGGAGAAGGAGATGTAGGGGATGGGCGAGAGCTGAGGGGAGGAGAGTGAGGGAGAGGGGGTGGAGAGTGAGGGGAGAGGGAGATGTGAGGGGAAGAGAGTGAGGGGAAGGAGAGTGAGGGGAGAGGAGGATGAGGAGAGGAGAGTGAGTGTGAGGAGAGGAGATGAGGGAAGAGAAGTGGGAGGGGAGAGGAGAGTGAGGGGAGAGGGGGAGATGAAGCTGAGGGGAGAGGAGAGTAGGATTAGTTTCTATTTGTATATAGAAGAAAAACATGCAGTGGAATTGATAGAAAAACCACTGATCACAAACATGGCACTTACGTTTCTTAGGAACATAATTTAAGAACATGGGAAGGAAATAAAAGTTAGAAAACTCTTCTGCAGCTGAAATTTTTTTAATAATGCGGAGCTGCCAATGGAGGGAGGAAGTTCACGGGAAGGAGGCACCAGAGGAGGGAGGGAGGAGGAGGAGGCACAGAGCGAGGAAGGCCACAGGAGGGAGGAGGTGGGAGGAAGCCACAAAGGAGGAGGGAGGGAGCAGAGGGAGGAAGGCACAGAGGGAGGGAGGAGGACACAGAGGGAGGAGGAGGCAGCAGAGGGAGCCACAGAGGGAGAGCGCGGCAGGGGAGGGAGGGGAGCCACAGAGGGAGAGGGAGCACAGAGCGGGAGGGAGCAGCAGAGGGAGGGAGGAGGCACTCAGAGAGGGAGGAGGGAGGCCACAGAAGGAGGGAGGAGGCACAGAGGGAGGGAGGGAGGCACAGAGGGAGGGAGGCACAGAGGGAGGGAGGGAGGCACAGAGGGAGGGAGGGATAAAGGAAGGATGGAGGAAGGGGAAGAGTGAAAGTTAAATATTAAGAGAAGGCAGCATGTTCAGAAGCAGCAAAATTTAAGATTCATCTGAATTAAATTTGTCAATATAATTTAGATGTGTCTGTGAAGCATATGTATAAGACAGATCATTTTGAATAGTCGGAGTTGACAAGATTCCAGTTTGTAAGAAAACTGAGGTAGCTGACCAAAATAGAACACCAACATACTTTGAGAAGTTACAAGCAACATTGATTACATGTAAATCACTGTAAACCAAACGCATTGTCTTTTCTTGTCATTATAGGGCTACATTAATTTTAAAATCTATGAAAGAAATGAGTACTAATGACAATATAGTAGTTAAAATGGAATCTGCAATAAAGCTCTATCTGCTATAGACATTAAATAAATAAATATTTAAAGTATAAAATATTGCCTTTTTGCTTATCACAACAGAACTAAATATTTAGTTTCAAAGCAACATCCATATTTTGTCAACCTAAATAGCAACAAATTTCCATTTCTTGTTATTCTATATGGTATAAAAATGTTAGAAATTAGTAGTATTTTATCAATAATCTCCTTCTGAAAATGCTCTATCAACATATAATTACATTGAATTATAATCAGCAATATTTCGTGCTTCCAGATTTCACTACAATTAAAAATGATATCCACTTCATCTAGGCCTTTTTGTCTTCTGTAACATTGACTTACCTGGAGGCTCTCAAAGATCATGAAAGTGGGAATAAACTAGTCAAATATTAAATGAAAATTTATTAATTTTTTAACCACCTTTGATTTCTATTAAATAACACATTAGCGAGACATTACTGAACAAGAAAAACATGATATGTCTATATACATAAACAATTATAAATAAATTTACAAAAAGATTGACTGAATTATTAATAAATGCATGTTTAACACGTATTTGTATTTTACCCATAGTAAAAATTCAATTTTCAGCCAGAAATAATAATTTAAATTCTTGAATTCTAACATTCAGTATGATTTCCTGTATTTATAATATTGCAAATCATTCTTTCATTATCCAGACAGGAATTCATTAACAAAGAAAACAGAATTTTGTAAATCAGATTTTCTTTGGAAATATTTGCTATTGTGTTTCTGTTTTACAACAGAAATACAACATACAAAAAGAAGCACTAGAAAGGCACGGCACTCTCAATTTGTATTTTTCCCTTTTCTATGACAGTCTTTGACCTTTAAGAATCATGCAATTCCAGTACCTCCTAACAAACAGTTAATTTAAATCATTCTTTTGTTTTAGTTTGATCAGGGCAGAGATATTAGGCGTTATTAGTAATTGTTCATTTCTAGTTAGGCATGACCACTGTCAATACATTGAACGCACCAGAGATTTTAAGGAAGAGACTGATTGTAGGTAGGAGTATATGAAATGGGTAAAATTATGAATTTGTGTCATTGATTTCAGTAATTTTTAAAAATTTTGTTCAATTTTTTAATATATTCACAATCTAGTACACAAACTTAAAAACTCTTTACATCCGTACAAATTGTAGAAAAGGTCTTCCATTGTGATTAAGTTTTCATTAAAATATTTTTAACCTCGCCAACCTCATCCATGTGGGTTCTTATTAGACCTGTACATTATACTGATCTTTGCCTTTATCCTTTTTGTTATATGCTCTCAATCAGTTGAGACTACTGCCTTTTGTTCCATTGTGTAAAACTATGCCATGCCTGGGTCTTTAAAATTTGGTTTGCAAAACCCAAAGCATGCCAGGAGTGGTTTTTATCTGAATTGTGAGACTTCCTATACCATCTATTACATGACAAAGTTAACTCTTATGAGTATCTCCACTCCCACTCACAAAAGGTTAGAAATGGGGGAAATCTCAAAATCTTTGGAAGTTCAACTATTTGATATTCTGTGCAATTTAATGGTGTGGGTATATGTAATTCTGTTAGTAACTAAGCACTTGACACTATTAGAATGTTTACCTGCTTTGTACTATGCCTGTGTGAAGAAACACACATTTCAAAATTTCTACATCTAAAGAACGTTTCTGAACTCAAAGTTCTTTACAATCCTTAAAATTAAAAGATTAAATTATCACAAAGAATATAATTTGCATATGTACTCTATGAATTTGTACCTAAAAGTACATACATTAAATGTAGGAAGTTCATAAATAATTTACAAAAAAATAATAAATAAAAAAATAAAAAAAATAAAATTAGACGCTCAAAAGACTTACCTAGGAGGTCTGCGTGATTCTCGTTCCCGTTCAGGTCGCCTCTGCCCTACGGTGCTACGGCTTGCATCTTCTTTGCTCGATTCAGCTGACGCTTCATCACCAGATTGTTCTGATTCAGTAGCTTGAGTATACTCTCCAGCGTTTGAGGCACGAGATGGAGCAGGTCTATGCAGACCACGGCGTCCACGCTCTCTTTGTTGTCCCCAGGACATAGCCCCCCCACGATACACAGCATAACTACCAGAACCCTGGCGACTGGCACGTCCATCAGATCGGCCACGAGCACCACCACTTCTACTACGACTGCTTTTTTCTCGCTTAGGTTCAACTTCCACAGAACCTGTTATTTCTTCTTTTTTCACTTCCTCCTGCCCTTCCACTTCTAATTCAACTTCCTTTGGGTTGTTTTTTACTTTCTCAGGAGCTTCTGCAGGTACATCTACAAAGAGTTTCACACAAACCAAGTAAGGATTGAGCCAATTGTTTATTTTCACGTTTGGAATAACTACCAATTAATGACTTTCAGTTAACTTTCACAAAAACAATATATTTTGACATTTGTTTTGAAGAACAATTCATCCAGTAGTATTTGACAGATAATTTTCCAGTCATGCATGTCTGCATGGGTTGTTCTACTGCTTGATACATAAATTCCTTACTAAAATTATCACATATTAAAATACATGACTAGGCAAAAACTAAATAAAAGCACATGCGATAGAAAGAGGGAGCAGAAAAGCTTCAATATATGTTGTGGTGATCAAGTAAAAAGAATAAACATAAAAAAAAAAGTTTCTTTCCAAAGCATAACTAACGAAGAAATGTGATAACAACTGCCCTATGGAAGGGGAAAAAAAAAAAAAAAAAAAGAAAGAAAGAAAGAAAGAAAAGAAAAGAAAAAAAGGAGAAACAACAACTTAAAATATGTAAGACACACAGCACGCTAGATTTAAAGCTATTACTTGTACAGGAACATTCTATAAATTCATTTTCCTGAATATATTTGAGACAAAAGGATATAATGAGAAAAAAACAATATAATAGTTAACATTACAGCTATTTTCTATTGTAGAATTTTAAAGATTGTGATTTGTTTTTAAGTAGAGCAATTAAAAATTTTTAATTTTAAAATTACCATATTTATCCGAATATAAGACAAGATGTTTTCCTAAATATCTTATTTGAAAACTACAAGGTATTATATATGCAGATTAAGCCTAGTTAATTAAGATTAATAGTTTTACATTGCCTTGCCGTGTCACAAAACTCATAAATATTAATGTAACAATAAGCTTGGATGAGAATAAATACATCACATACATCTTTAATATTATCAGCATCCACCGTGAAATTGTCTGGCGATTCAGAGAATTATATTTGAATAGTTTGGAAAATAATCTCAAACAATTGGTATTGTATGAAGTGAAACACAAATGAAAATGAATAAAAATAATATCCAAAATTTTACTACACGATGCGATCGATGCAGCTATGCGGGCTGCATTTGTCACCCAGCTAGTGTGATTATACATTTTGGAAGACATGGAAATAAAAACATTCAGATTAATAGAAGTGTTAATTTTACATCTAACCAGAGAAAAAAGGATAATAAATATTACCCTAGCAAAAACTTCCCCCATTTAGAATCTCCAACATTACTCGCAAAGTGTAGGAACGGAGATATACAAGATCAGTTTACAACTTGATTCCACAAACTTTTGATGCTGCAGATTTCAAATATCTTCCGTTAACGAAAGTGAAAAAACTATCAAAAAATTCACAAAAAAGAGAGGGAAAAAAAAAAAAAAATCTCCAGGCAAAAAAATTTGGTAGCACTGAAGGGAATGTCCCTAGGTGGCATCAGAAGACTGAGAACACAAATTCTTTGTGCAACTGTTAGAGGAGCCTCAAATGTCAGAATATGATGCAGTGTGGTAAAATGACCAAAATGAAACAAAAATACAAGAGATGAAGAAAGAGGATAGTAACATAAACATGATTGTTAAGGAACAAGAAAATAGTCATAAAGGCAATTTTCTAGTTATTTAGACAATGTCATTTTAATTAGACACAATCGTAAAAATTTGTTAAAAAATTTAAAAATCTAAGGAGGCCTCTTCATAATTAGGGAGTTGTCTTATATTCGGAGGCAACTTATATTCGGGTAAATACGGTATAATTTTTGAAAAACTACACATTTACTTTTTTTATTTATTTTGAAGAAGCTAACAAAACAATTACTAAAATTTGTAATTAATAGGATTGTTTCTTTCATTTTTGTTTATCTGAAAGTGGAAGCCAGTTTACAAAAATAAAATTTAATTATATTAGGCTAACTTCTTCACTATTGATCAGTTCAATCTTTCCAACTTTCTAGATTAACTTTCGAAAATGTGTGTATTGTACATCGCAAATGTCTAAGAGTTTGCTTATTAAAACAGGGACACTCCCCCCCCCCTTTCTTTCATTCTTCTTCTCAATGTTCATGTCCTACTTCTCGTAAGATCCTACTGGTAAACACACACTGATACATTTTACAGGACGATTGACAATTATTCTGTGAATCTTGCTTCAAAATTAGTTTAAGTATTGTCTTGGAAAAAAAACAAAAAACAAAAAAGCAACACAATTAAGTAAAAGAATAAAACACAATTTAGTTTAAAATTAGCATTTTTTGAGTGAAATTGACCTTTCACAACTTTACACCAAGAGAACATTTATGGAATAGGTGCTAATAAAGATCAAAGAATATTTCTCTCTCTCTATATATATAGAAAAGATCATTGTTTAATAATTGGTGAACACATGAAAATTTGAGAAGTGGGCAAGAAAAAGTTCCAGAATGTATGAACAAACTTCATGTAAAAATATAAAAGTTGCAACTAAAAGAATACAATATATTAAACAACATTCAATGGCTTTTTAATCAGAACCAAATTGGACATTCTATTTATATTCAAATTTCCTTTCGAAGACTATTGGGAAATCTGTTTTTGTAATTGCAGTCAGTTTTTAAGGTTCTTCCACATCACTGCAAAACCTGATTCTGTTTGAGAATAATAAGTAGTTATTAGTACCTTCTTCCTCAACTTGTACTATTCATCTTGTAGCCAAACTGCATAAAATATTAATGAGAGACTATATAAAAATCTGAGTTGAACATTTAATTCTAAAGAAAATTTTTTTGTTCAATCGTAAGGTAATAGCAAACACTTTGCCTTCCAAGGTTAAAAACTTTTGGAATTTATATTTTTCAGACAATTCCCATAATACATTTTTTCTCCGCTTTAAAATATTCACAGACTTTCTTGCAAGTGTACGACCAACAGAATGTATAACAGTGCATGGGGCAAGGAGGCAATCATTACACCAAATTTTCTCATCTTCACCAATTTTCTTTTGTTTCACGTAGAATAGCAAATATTTTTAAAATACATTTCCTGGAAAATTCTGGAATAGGGACTTCTGTAGAAAAAGACTGAGCTCCTTTACTGATTTGTAGGTAAGGAAACAAGTTTCAGGAGAATGTTATGCATATTCCAAGTAAAAAAAGAACATCTTTTTTCACATGTTATTTACAAGTCAAAGATATTCTGTTGGTTTTTCGCTTGGTTTTTTGCTCTGCAAAGTAAGCAAATTTTTATACAAACAAATTAGAACCTTAACCTACACTCTAAACAGTTTACTTCAATATGACATACACATATTTAACATGCACAGATAATTTCATGAACTTCGGTAGTGAGATTTAATATTTCAAGGATATGCTACTAACTGACCTTGAAATATAGATTTCTCACAAGCAAATGTATACTTCCTTCCAAAGCTCTATGACTTCATGTACATTTAAATTTGATATTAATGTAGCTGTGATAATCTCTAATCTCTGAAGAACATAAAATTCACCACATCTGAACAGGAATTCTGCTTCCTCTGCCTAGATTTTGCTCTTCCATAAGTTATTTAAAAGACCAAGTCACAGACAATATTCAATTTTTTTCCTTGTCGTATCTTTATACACTTTTGTTTACTAACATCAAGATGAAACCTCACCAGACCCTTTTCCTAATGGAGCCATGTATAATTATTATTTTTATTTTTATTATTATTATTATTATTATTATTATTATTATTATTATTATTTAGCATGCCTGCTTAGAAACAAGTTCAATCTCACAGTTTACCCTAATCTATAAATATAAAGTCATCTCAAATGCCTTTATAAAACATCTCAAAAATTGCTCATCCTCCAAGAGCTAATTTATGATTGAAAATGTCCAACCTGTTTAATAAGATGCGTAGCAACAGATGGAGTGGCAATCCATTTAGTCCCGGCTACCAGTACATGCAGTGCCTACGTGCAAATATCCAAAATACTGAAACAGAGTACACTGTTTGGGAAGTTTTTATATGTTCATTCACGTGTATTTTCATTAACAAAAGAAGTCGTGAAGGCTTAAGAGGCACCACAAGAACATTAGCATAACCCATACAAAACAACTGGTAAATTTACACATAATACATTTCCAATCAAATGGAGGGAGTTATAGCAAAGCTTAAAATCATTACCATGACAAAACAAGCTGATTTTTTTTTTAGTATAATCGAAATTTTTTTCTCCTCTTCTAACAACCGTTCTTCTGAGAATGTGTGTGTGTGTGTGTGTGTGTGTGTGTGTGTGAGTGAGTGAGTATATATAAAACACCATCACTGAAGGGATACAGACAAATGGCATAAACAATACTGTAGTTTTCCCTTTCTGTTGTACTGCACTCCTTCAACAGTAAAAATAATGAATATTTTTAATTGTTGAGAATTAGCAAATTTAAGTCTTTGTGTTGCTTCCCCCCCCCCCTCCTTTTATTTACTTAGTTACATACTTAAGAAGCTTCATTTTCGTCCAAAGGCGTGATTTCAAACACTAAAGAATTGCACTATTCATTAGTAGTTGCACCCACATTACATTTAAAATGCTTGTGATTATGATTTTGTTGTGGAAATAAGCATGACCAATGTAAGGATTCTTAAGAGCAGAAAAGAAAAAACAAACTTTGTGTAAAAGATGTATCAGTCTTCCCATTATTACAGTTATAATGGCCAAAGGAAAAATTTAAAAATATAAGTAACAAAATTCCTTCTCATTAAACTTTAAATAAATTAACCCAGGGATACATGTCAGTCATTAATAACCAATTTTAACACTATCAATTTAAAATGTCTATCAATAAACTAATTTCAAGCATCAATTTTAAAATCTTCAATATTATATGTCTTTTAGGTTCATACATTGACTTTGAGAGTTAGTCTGATTTTCATATAGAATTTTTATTCTGAAATTATAAGTACTTTAATACTAAAACAATTTATTCTCCAAAACCTGCTTCATCTCCCCATTATAGACCAATTAGTAATGTATTAATTGTAATGTTCATTGCAAAC